AGAGTCAGCCTCTCTGCTCCTATGATGCTGCTTGGCCTGCTGTGTTCATCCAGCCCTGCACCTTGTTGTCTCGGATTTTCCTTGTTACCATCAGTTGTGAGGAAGGGCCAATCGACCTGAAAAATTAACTCTGATTCTTTCCACAGAAGCTGCCAGGCCTGCTGAGCTGAGGTTTTTTTCTAGCAATTTATATTTTTTTGTCTTAGCTTATGAAATTTAAAAAAAAAACCGGCGCGGGTACGCTAGGACTCGTTGTACACTGTCACAATACCAGATCTCGGCTCTCCAGCCAAACGCTAACGGCTTTCACACGCTCTTTCCGGGGACTATTGGAGTGACATTGGCCGTCCTTGGGTTTCCATGGTGAACCGCCCCTCCCCCCACCTCCGGAATCGGAGGCCGTTTGTCACGTGACTTGTTGGTTGCGGCTCCTGTGGTCAGGGGTGGGGGATGGGAGCGAGGGGTGTGTCTCCTTCCTTCATCCCCTTGACGTGGCGCAAAGGAACGGAGAGGGGGCGAAAGCTCCAGCGAGCTGTGTCCGCCATCTTAAGCCGAGGTGAGGAACTGAACTGACGTGAAATGAAATGACCAGGGTCGGTTGATGGTTAAGTGGCGGTCCAGTCTCCTTTCCAGTTGGGAGAACTAACAGTTTTTTTTTTGGTAAAAGAAAAAGAGGCGTCGGCAACGCAGGTGGAGAAGCAAACCGTTGTCGAGGGATAGCGGAAAAAAAAGCCCGTGTGACGGTTCGGCCCAGGTGCAGTGTACGATCCTCTTTAGTTTATGGATTCGGCTGTCGCTTCACGGGGGCCGCTCTGCCTAGTGTCGACCGTCAGTTCGTCAAACGTCCATCTCCTTGCTCCTGCCCCCATCGGTTTCTCTTGGTGCTTTCCGTGGTAGGGCCGAGGTTTATCATCTCGGTCAGGGCATGGTTGTTTGCCGCCATTTTGAGTTAGAGTGGGGGATGTGCTGTAAAATGGGTTGTTTCACTTAATATTTACCTAAGAATTCGCCTGTTGCCGATGTATCATGATTTGTAATCCTACTAAAGGGGAAGTAAACGTTTCTTTATATTTACATTATGCGCCAAATTTTATAGTAATTGGGGTATTGCTGCAGAAACTCGGCCGTTCTGGTAGTGTCTGAAGAGAGAGGAACAGTCAATGAAACAGTCTGGTATGGTTCTGCGGAACTGTGGGGATGAAATTCAGGAGTTCCGAAAAAGAGAGTCACACCAAACTCGAAATGCTTACTGTTTTTCTCCGCGCCGCTACCGGTCCTAATTTTTTTTGTAGCAATTATCATGATGCTAGTTTTCCAGCATCCGCTGTACTTTGCTTTTCGTTTAGTTTGTACGTTCCCGTTCAATGGTTGTAAGGAGCCCTCTTAGGGCTGACAAAAACAATTCATAGGCTTGGAAAAAGTTTTGGTATCATGCATCTTTGAACGGCCGGTTGCGTTTTTTTTTTAAAAATGCCGATCTGGTTCCCTTCCCGTTTTCTGATTACCATTTATCGAATATTCGTGCTGTGCGCTAACAACTTAACGCGAAATTCTGTCTACATTTGCAGTGGGAGCAAAACGTGCCATAGCTGTAATTACGAGCACTTGTCAGTGGTGGTGCTACTATGCCTATATTACAAGTGGGTGTAGTCAGTTAACTTGGGTACCTTCCACTGTAAATAGCGGAATTTACAATGGAAACACAAACTAGTGTCAAAACATGGGTAATGTAATGATTTGGAACGTATTGTTTGATTTGGGAAGATGGAACCATTTCAATAGCCACCTTCAAAAAGGAACTTAATGTATATTTTGAGGAAATACTTACAGGACTGTGGTAAAACAATTGGGACATGAAGAGTTATCCAGATAATCTTGATCCTATCCAGGTACTAATTTTTGTGTTTTAAGATTGCATGAATGTATGGGCTGAATTCTTTCTACAGTCACAGTCCAGTCATCACTACTTCCTCCATTGTTTAATAATGTGAGATTAGTTCTACTCTACATGGGCCTTACCAATAAAGATATTTTTAAAGAACCCAAATTTTATGTAGTATTTGACAAGTTAAAGGTGCCAGATAACTCTTCACATTTCTATGGAGTGTTCTGGTAGACCGTTTGTGAACAGTGACTTCACACAGGCAGCAATGAAGCCATGTTACTGGCCTGTGTAGAGATGTTGGTTGAGGTATAAGTATTGACCAGTGTGCTGAGAGAAGTATCCCCATCAAATGATTCCACAGCATCTTTTTAGCAAATCTTTCCCTTTGATTTATTTCATTTTGAAAGCTGTTATAGATTTTGTTTCAACCAAGTTCTTTTTTCTTGATACTTTGCGAAGAACATTTTTGTTCTTCCTCTTGGTGTTAATTTTACTGCAAGTTGGCATGATTATAACTAATGCTACACAGCATGGTGGCTCAGTGGTTAGCACTGCTGCCTCACAGCGCCAGGGACCGGATTCGATTCCGCCCTTGGGCAACTGTCTGTGTGGAGTTTTCATATTCTGCCCGTGTCTGCGTGGGTTTCTTCCAGGTGCCCCAAAGATATGCAGGCTAGGTGGATTGACCATGCTAAATTGCCCATAGTGTTCAGGGATGTGTGGATTATAGGGGATGGGTCTGGGTGGGATCCTCTGAGGGTTGGTGTGGACTTGTTGGGCTGAAGAGCCTGTTTCTACACTGTAATCTACGTTCTTGAAGTAATGCTGATGTCGGCTGTAGGGTGAATTGTCTCAAATATGCCTGCTCTGATCCCTAATCCAACAAGGACATCCGATATGGGCAGACAGCCAAATGAAATCAACTCTCCTGAATATTCCAAATATTGTTAACCTCTGGAAATGATCAAACAAATGAAACTGCTCATTATGGCATCTTATCCACAAATGCGAGAGTGTTGCAGGTTTGCCAAAGGAATAGACACCATTTTTTTTTTGTACCAGAAGTTTAATACAGAACAGTGCAAGACAGGAACAGGCCTTTCAGCTCGCCATGCTTGTGCTGGCCACTAAGCCCATCTGTCTGCACATAGTCCATAACCTTCTATTTCAACTGCCTAAATCCCCTCTCCAAATGTTGCTATCACTCTGTTCGGCAAGATATGGAATATAACAATAATTCTCAATTTCTGAAGTCCAACTATCAAACAACGGAATTACACCCTGTACTAAACACTGATAAGTGGAAAAAGAAGTTCAGCCAAAAGAAGTCTGTGACATTTAAACTACATGGCACTTCATGAAAGCTAGTTACAGCTGAATACTCTTGCCTTGCTAAAAAGGCAAACTTTTGTATTCAATTAAAATAGGGGCATATAATCTCTACAAAAATCTGATCACTTTCAGAGTTGCAAGATTTGTCAACGGACCAGTTCACCATGCAAACATTTGGATTAGGCATCAAAGAAGGCACGCTTCAGAGACAATTCACCCTACAGCTGATATCGGCATTAATTCATTATCTGCCTACGTTCTTCTTCTTAGCATTAAATTTAAATTCCTAAATGAGTCTGCCCAAACTTTGGAAAAAGTTATATTAAATCTTAGCTGAAATTTGTTCCATTACTTCAAGTTCCTCCATGACTGTTTTCTATCTTGACACCCGTATCATGATTCTGTACTGTACTGTACATGATGATTGCAACAGTTAAGAGAATTGTACCTGAACTCTTCACTCTTACCAGATCAATTCTTTGTACAAAATTATTAATGTACTCTAAATTTTTATTCATAAAACTCCATCTCATTGCAATTCTACAGAATTACACTTGTTACACCTGCTGGTCATCCATGCCTTTTAAGTGTTTTGACTGGAAAAAATCTAACCCCATTCCTCACATTTCCTCCCAAAATCTTCTACCTTGCACTTAAAATGCTTCTACCACATACTTAAATGCTTCTTCCACATGTCCATGCAAGTTGACCTGTAGCTTTCACCAAATTCCTTGGTTATCTTTGTACCTGCCACCTGTTTTGAAGTCTGTCCTGTTCAACACAGTGATAATTCACACAACAAGAAGGGTATTCTTAATGCAAAAGCGAAAATGAAACTTCATCTCCATATGACAGTGAAGTGAGCACTCTTAGTGATAGTGTCATAGAAAGCTGCATCTGGGACAAGTAGGTGAGGATGGGTCAAGTATCTTTTTTTCTCTTCACCGTGATATATTTTTCTTTAAAGGATATTTCATTGTGAATAATTATAGCACATTTAATGATGTCCCGAGCATTATGCTTTTATCTGCTGCTTAGTGTTGATGGCATAAATACATGGGACTCTATCCCATGGTTTAATTAAGAGTTCAGGCTCCAATATGTAGAATTCCACTTGTCACATCCTGGCAACTATGGAGGACCAATATAATTTGTCTCTTGTCTAATCAAGTCAATAATCTATCCTAAATTCAGAGCTTCAGCCTTAAACTACAGTTGTTTTTTTTTTTTTGGCACTTTAACATATCTTCTAGTTCTTCAGCTCCACTAGGACTACCTTAAATTTTACTTTGCATATCTCTCTGAAAGACAGTTCTCTCCTTTCTCATTTCAAAGTTGTTACCACGCACTTCCTTATTTCTCAACTATTTGTCCTAATGTAGTACTTTATACAATAAATCCTTCAGCATTCCTGACCTGAAAATTGATTTAACCAGTACTGTACTTCAGCAGTCCTGTATAGACCTAAGCCATCCTTTTTTTAACTTTAAAATTACAGTTACAAGGAAATTGTTCTTCTGGTCCTGACTCATTTTCCTGAATTTTTAATATTTCCTGCACCTTTTCTAGCAGTATATTTCTTTTCCTGGTTTCCATTTTGTCAGTTAAGCTTCCTGGTGTTCCAGTAACTGTCAATCTTGCTCCACTGTTAGTCTCAAATTTAGTTTTCAATGCACTTGCTGCATTAGTTTAAATCCCAACCCAATTTATTCTCTCCGCAATCTTAGCTTGAAAGTGAAAGCTTTCACTTCAGTATTGCTTTTTGTCCTGTACTCACTTGAAGTACGAATTCTTCACTAATGCACCAGCTCCACAGTCTTATGTTGTCCTTCCCATTCTCCCACATTGTTTTCCATGATTGAGCCACAAGAAAGAGGTTGCAGTTTCTTTTAAGTTTTGTTTAATTCCTTACCTTCCTTGTGCAAGACTCCAATGTACTTCTGTTTGTGGTGTTGATTTCCAGTGTAGCAACTTTTGGCTGCCTTCTGTTTAGAGAACTTCAATTTATTCTGTCTTCCAGTCTAAATTAGGGTGGCAAAATAATATTTGAGATTTCTGGTTGTCTTCAGGTATATCTCTGCTATTCATTGATTCTAATATTAATTGCACGTATGTTTAGGAAGAGTGTGTGAAATTAGCTTAAACTTTCTCCACAGCTTCAGT